GATTTATACTAAAATTCAGCCAGAATGCTCACTAATGTGAACTCCCCTGTGGTGGTTCTGGTGCAGTGTCAACTTTATTGGCTTTGGGATCCACGTGGGGAACTAGTGGTGCACACTTGGGGTGGGTCATGAAAGTGTGGCCTTGGGGGTCGATATCTGCTCCCTTGCCCTCTTTTCTCGGTACTCTTCCCATGCTCTGCTTCCCTGCCACTATGAACTAAGGCAGCTTTGCTCTCTCCGCCACAATGTCTCTACCTGTGAGCCAGCTGATTGTGGACTGAAACCCTGAGAAAATTAAACCTCTCCTCCTTTAAGTCATGAGTGTTGGGTATTATATCTCAGTGACAAAAAAGCTGACTAACAATCTCCCTACATAAATACATCTAAGGCATATGGGTAAATAAATTCTTATTGTACATTCAAATAACCATGCCACTCATCTGCATGGAAGGAATCAGCTATGAAACAGCATCAGTCTCAGAACATTCCCAATAGGAGTAAATAAACCTTGCTGAAGAGGATGGATAAAAATATAATGCTGTATTAATATAATAAAATATATAAATATCTGTTATATACATATATTGATATGTTGTGTGTAAATAAAAACAGATACATTATAAAATACATAAATTACAAATTAAGGCTTATTGTTTGAGAGAATCCTATTCGAGAATATGGGGAAAGGAGTAGAAAGAAGCACCAACATCACTAGTTTGATTTAGAGTTCTTTTTTTGAAAATTTCTTTCCCCCAGATTTATCATTTCACAGAGCAAGGTTAACAAATGAACTAAGAAGTGAGTCAACATTAATCATTTTACATAATTTCTTTAAACTTTTAGTTTTTTTACCTAACAGTTTTCTTTATACTTTTAAAAAGTAAATTTTGTTAGCAATTTGCCATAGTTCATGCATTAAGAGATAATGAGACACATAAAGAGATAATTTCTTGTCCACTTCCTTTTTCCTTTCGTTATCAGTCCATTGCATCTACTTAAGGTCCAAGTCTTGATATACAGTTGTTTACCCTTTGATGCAGTATTATAAATCAGGGCCAATTTGAACTTTAGAGAAATCTTGTGGCTAAATTTAAAAAGGGGAATGGGGTGCTAGGAAAAGATAGGAGTTCTGAACTCACTGACCTGAGCCCGAAGAAAAGGAAGCAACATGTTGTCAGTACAATTTGGTGCTCAACTTTATCATCCATACGCCCGCTCTGAGCAATTTAAAGGAATAAACAGTTAATGCTCAGCACAGCCAGCTCCACAGTGACAGTGCACCGTTTACCTTCATATTCAACACAAAGCATTCTTCAGAAGCAACAAATGATTCTCTGCAAGAACTGTCCCTGACAGTAATTTGCTCCCACTTAAAACTGCATTGAATTGAGAGTTTCAGAGTAACTTAAAATGAATTTTGCACTTCGTGTCATTTAAGGTAATGAGCTAGAAGCATAATTTTCAATGAAGATGGCTTATTCATGAAGGCAGACAACTCAAAACATGAAAACTATATTTTTTTCAGAATGAACGGAGGATTCAGCAGTGGCAGAGAGAGAAGAGATCAGTAAGTTTGTCCCTGGCTAGTGACCCTTGTCCATATTCCATCTCAGCTGTGCTAAAACCAGAGCCCAGCCAGGATTCAGGGAGGCAAGCACTCTAAGTTGGGAGTGTGGGTGGGCGGAGATGGAGAAACCAGGGGGAGTGGGCCAAGTGCTTGAGTGTTTAAAGATGTGGCTGCCTCAGATTGGCACTAACCAGGGATCTCTGTACTGGGGTAGTGTGAAGATCAGTGCTACAGTTTTGGAAATGCAGACTTTATATATTTGGTTTTCTTGCTTAGAAATTTTGATTTATTCATTCAAAAAGTTATAAAATTACCTGCAAAAATATAAACTACATTCACAGTTGTTAACACTGGTAAAACTTAATAGTTTCATAAAATATCAGGCTCCTTATTTTTTGCTGTTGGAGATAAAATGTTTTTTTCAAAAAATGCTTCAGGAATTCATAAAGGCACCGTCAAAGATTTCTCCACCAAACTAATTACTACCTGAGGCAATGGAGAAAAGGTGCTTTCTGGTGCTAATACTGGGGTTCTTCCTTGAAGAAATACAAGATATAATCTCGGTTTTAGTGACTTATTATTCATAACTTGAATTCCTCTTGATTATTTCAAGCGAGTAAGGCATTCAGCTTTATTTTTTTTTCTTCTCATCTTGCACTATTTTGATGTGAAGTTGGAGGCCTCTGGAGGATGTACGCAATGGCAGGTGTATGGATATCCATGATAATTTTACTTTGGTCTTTTTTCATCTAAGATTTCAAAGGACTTTAGAAGTGTTTGAATTAATGGTCACAACAATACTCTTAAAAAGGTAAGTAAGGAAAAGTCTAAGCCTTCTTAAATGTAAGCTCCTTGAGGGCACAGACAATTTTCACTATGTGAAAAACTCAAGGTCACTAAGCATAGTATTATCTTCAAACACTCAGTATTGTGTTTCAGGTAGTGAAAAAGGTGGTACTTTTAAAAAGGTAAAATGTTCTTCCTATGTGTCCTCAAATTAATAAAAAACACTTATTGTCACGAATTCTTTATATTATTTAGTTCTGTATCACTAAGAAAATAAAATCTAACAAATTAATGAAATTTACAAGGTTAATAATTAGTGCTTAATGAATTACTACACTGCTTAATACACTGTACTTTCAAGAGTATCTATATTTTAAAAAATAAAGCATCTTTTAATTTACTTAGAATAAATGACCTAGTTATGTAAGATGCTTAGACTAGATGTCATTTGTCATCCTGCGTGCTCAATTAACTGCAATTGGTATGGTAGTAGTAGTAATATACAAATGACTTACATAATTATATTTCTAATTTTGAAACTTTGTGCAATTTAACAGGTACAGTAGGGAAATATTTGATGGTCAAGAATGCTTTCTGGCAGCTGTATAGACCATACCATACAACCTAGAAGGGATGGAAAGATGATTGATCTCTCTTTAAGTGAAGTCTAGTCTATAGGAAGTAGTAGACAGTCTACTGCTCTCCTTCTCCTCTCAATTAACAAATGAAACAACTTATATGTGACTCAGGACAGAAGAAGATTCAGTCCAAATTGATGATGTGCTCATGTCTTGTCTTTAAAATCATCATGGGTTAGAAATTGATTTAAGTTAATAGATCAGATGGAAGCTACAGTCAAATAATATTTTAAGGGTATTAAGTTACCTGTAGTATTAGACCATTTGCCTTAATTTCCTTATTTGTGAAATAAATATAATAATAGCACCAACACATATTGTTTTCTATCTATCTATCTATCTATCTATCTATCTATCTATCTATCTATCTATCCATCTTTGTCCAGTATCCTGGAATATTAGAGTTTTTGAGTCATTTTCACAGGTAGAGGAAAGGAATATTTGATATTTGAAAGGGCATGAAGAAGCTATGTTATATTCATTGTTTATGTGCTTCCACTAAAATGTTCATTTTCCAGTGGATGTATTACTATATAGCCACAATCTTAATTAAAATAAAAATATGTAAAAACTGTAACAGAGAGGTTTAAAACAATAAGAAAATAAGACTAGGAGGCTAGAAAAATTTGGCATTTTTTTAATTATAAGAAAACTTTGGTTCCTTTTTACATGATTATCCTGATTTCTAAATAACTAAGATCTTCTCCTAGTTCTTTTTATCTTGCTGTCTGCTTTGGGGTCTTCTTACTAATATTCTAGGTTGCCAAAATATGAGGTGGCTATAGTAATTGAAAGAAACAAAAATGAATTGTTCTTTGCTTATGAATATGGTTTAAGATTTGAACAGATAAATGTGAAATTTTATGAAAATAAACTTTAAGGATTTTTGATTATCTTTGCTACATTTTGTTTCTATTACTCTAATAAACATAAATTTCATTGGACATATTTTGTGGCTTAAATAATATCTAAGCATCTAAACGTAAAATTTTATATTTAGAAACTTTATTATGATTTGGACTATTTCTCACTTTAAGGTTAAATCCATCACTTATATTCTCTGTACTTCCTCCTACCTTATGAAATAAGGAAAAATAATACCAACTTCATTTTCTAACAGAATAACATATATTAAAGGAGTCTGTAAAAGGTATTGATATATTGTCCCACAAGTACAAATTATTATTATATTATCATTATTGTGTTACAAATGTGTTGTGGGTTATTGTGCTGACTTTAGATTACAGTGGACCCTCAAGTTATGACCGGCCTGACATATAAACAACTTGGGTTACAAACAGAATCTAAGTTTTAACTTACAACCAAAGTCTTGAGTTATTACCTGAATGCCAGCTGCTTGTGCTTCCAGATGGTCTCAGATACAGATTTAACCCTTAAAGAGTCCTAGAAGGAATATTACAACATCCTTTCCTGTGTGGGGTTGAGAAATCCTAAGCCAATGTCTCTCTAAGGACACTGAGATCTGCCTGGAAGAAAGTGTGGCCTAAAATTATACAAGAGAGAGACTTTGAAGACAATTGACCAACTTGAGTAACAACCAGCCCTTGGGAATGAATTGAGCTTGTAAGTCAAGGGTCCACTGTGGTTAAAACATACATTTCTCCCAGGCCTTGGAAGTAAGAGTATTTTGTGCTGTGTTGTAAATACTCAATACTTCATTTATCTCTTATCATCTCTGGTTAGAAATTACAATGTGATTCTTGTTTTTGATCACAGTTCACAGTTTCCTCAATACAAAGTGCTCAATTCTATGCTATGATGATTATCCAAGAAAAAATTCAAAAGGCTCAGAAACATGGCTCTAGATTGACAGTTATTAAAAGCAAAACATTTTTTATCATCAACTATTCCACAAACATGTTATAGCTGCTTATAAACCCTAAACCTCTGTAAAATGGAACAAGAGACAGACAATAAGGTGACAGAACATCAGAGATTCCATATGACCACAACATGCTTAATAAATTTAAAATGAGAAGCTTTCTTACCTAGCATGCAAACACATTTGGCATTCTGATCAGGGTTCTCAAACAAGATTTCACCACACCTCTGAAATAGAAAAAAAGCCGTAATTATTTTAAGATTTCATATCAGAATTCTTAATATAACATATCCATGCAACCTGACATTTCAGTAATGTTTCTTTTGATTACCTGGGTCTAAGGACCTTAAACAGAGACTTGTAGTAAAAAACTTAAGAGGTGATTTGGGATAGATTGTTCCTGTATGTGTCTCTCCCCTGCCTAGAGCTGATTCTGTGTGCTTAGTTACCTCTCTCATTGCTGAGACAAAATACTCAACACCCAAAGTTAAAGAAGGAAAGGTTTATTTAGCTCACAGTAATCATCTGGCTGCAAGTCAGAGTGGTATTGCAGAAGTGAAAGAGTTTATGGCAGGCAGAAGGCAGCAAAGCAACAAGGGAGGACCACAGCTCTTTCTATCCCTTATACCTTATCCAGGCTACTTAGGGAGGTAGCACTCATACCCTTAATCCTAGTGCCCTTGATCCTAGCATTGCATCATGAATCAACTCCAGCATCACAGGCTCTAGATCCAGCCACCTCTGAAAAACCCCAACTATGACTGCATGAGGCTTTTTTTTTGCAGGGTGTGTGTGGGGGGGATCTAGACATAAGCCATAACAGTACTTCTGTGAAGTCATGGCTTGAGATGCACTTGGTTTCTAACAGTTTCTATCTTAATGGGAGATATGGAGTCTATTAGGCTCAATAATCTGAGGTTAATCACCCTCAAAGTTGGTCCTTATTACCTGCTCTGTAACCATACACAGACATGATCAAATGTAAAGCAAAGTGAATAATATTTACTCCTGAATTGTGTGTGGGGGGGCAAATAAAGAAATGAAAAAGTGGCACTTGAAATGCTTTTTCGGAACCCACAGACTCATGGAAATATCAGCTTTCCTACCTATATCTTAGTTTTAACTTGCTTGTTAAAACTTTTGTGTAAGGTAAACTCTAGTTATATAGTTATTGACAGGCCACATTTGCATGCACCTGACACCAACTGAAGAGTGCTATGTTCAGTTCTTCTGGCATCAGATCAAGTGGGTTTTTGGTAGGATGGGCTAGCTCTGATATCAGAATGAGGTTAGGAAAGATGATGGTCATCAAACTTGTGGCTGATATGTGAGCCTTTTCACTGGCCCGCTGGACTGTGGAGGGCACACTTCTTTTCCTCCTTTAACAAGCCTGTGCTCACTCCACAGTGCACTTCTTTTCAGAGTTCTTCTTTTCTCTTTTTTTTTAAACTCTTAATGCCTTTTATACCTTTCATACTTTTAACAAATGTAAAACCTCCACATTTTTTGCTTGTCTTGTCCAGTTCTTTGGACAGGACAACAAGAATCTGGAAGGGACCCCTGGACACCGAAGTACCCGTTAACAGACTGGATTGTCTTCCCCAGACACTTGCTCTTACCACTCATTTCCTTTGATTTTAAGGATGTACTACCTTCACTCATTTTTCTCTTTCTTTAACTGTTCACAATTTGGTTAGTCCCATTCCCATTTATCTTTATTATACCTACTCTTAATATATTACAAGGCAAAGTAATAGAAGGAAAACATTCCTGGATCTGAGGACTTATGTTTTTCACACCTTATTATGAAATTCTTCAGGACAAATAGGAACAGGATAAGAGGGGAAAAGATGCTGCTGTTACCTCCAAATCGACCCATTTTTTAGGCTGACTTAATTTTGCACAAGGATATGGACAATTGACCTGGAGATATGAGAAAGAAGAAAGGTACTTTGTTGAGTCAAGAGGTTGGACTGGGGAGGAGGGAGGGTGCAAGAGAGCATTGAGTTCTGGATGTAAAAGGCCACTGAATTCTGGATAGAGAGTCTGTATCAAGAGCCTTTTCCCAGCTACTCTGCAGGCCTAGTGTGATATTTATCGTGCCACTTAAATTTTTTTTTTTTTTTTTTTTAGCACTGGGGATCAAACTTGGGACCTTGTGCTTGCAACACTTAATCTTCTTATGCTGCATTTCTTTGTAAGTAACACTGGGCTGTAGATGCATGCTGTCAGGTCAGGGAGCAAGGATTAATGACCCATGAAGCCTGATCCTACTTTTGTTCCTGTTTTGTTTGTATTTTGGCAGAGATTAAACCCTTTCATATAGCTGGGATCTATTTTCTGCATCACCTGCTTTTTAAAGTGGTAATTTTATGACCTGAAAGAGTTAATGATTATTTTAAAAAGAAAGGTCAGAAGTTTCTTAAATGTTTTCAACTTCATGGCAGAATAAAGTGCTAAGAAGCTGTATCAAGCTGCATTCCAGGTCTCACAAGGAAATGACTCGGGACTGCTCTCTTACCTGTTGTTATTGTCAAGGCCCATACATGTGCTATCATGGAAGAGCTTTCCTTCTTGAGTTGCAGACCCTTCCCGGGGGGATGGTGTGTGAAGCTTGCATAACTTTATATGACTCCTATAGTCAAGGGCAGCCTTGCATGTGTCTCTTAGCAGACATGTCATGGGGGGCCCAGAAGGTCTTGCTTTCTTTCCTGGCCACGGAAATTTCTAAAACTTCCATGAAGCATGCATTCCTTAACAGTTATGGCTTGCCTGGGTTCACTGACCAGACAAGCTCATTACCAAGCAGCAAGGGGAGGTGCTGTGGCCCTGCTGGTAAGCACAAGGCATTCCTCTTCCTCGCCTTCATCTCTCTGACACACCTGGGAAACGAGGGAGGGGCCTTTAAGCAGCTTTTTAATTGCTCTGCTTGGTAAAGTTATCTGAGGATTTTAACAGATTTGAAAGCAAGGTCCAGAAGGGAATCTGATTATTCTCAGGATTTGCAAGAAACCAGATTCTTTCCAGGGCCTTTTTTCATTGATGCCAGTGTTTACCAGGCCCTCACTGCCAGGCTTCTGCTTGCTGTGCAACCCAGGGTGATGACCCAGTTTAGGAGATTAATTAGGCTAAGCAGCAGGGCCCATCTCTCAGAAAACTGCAGGCTCCACCATGGGAAAGGTCTTGTGTTCTGCTGGGTTCTGGGTTGCTGAAAACCTCCTCCCTTGGTGCTCTTGTCATGCTTGATGGAACTCCCCATTCCACAGCCTCCCTGGGTGACTGATTTTGCACCTGGTTCTGTTCATTAATATTCGACCTAATTCTTGGATTCCCATCTCTCCTTAGGCACTCCATCTTTGCTTTGTCTTCTGTGCCTGAAATACTGAGACCAAGTCACCTTGTTCCTGCCCATCTTCTAGTGAGCATTGTCCCTGTACAACAAGGAATAGCTACTGCAGTGTCCGTCCAAGGGGTTTGGAGCCCTGCTTGCAACAGAGGAGTCCTCCTGGCACATTGTCTCCTGTAGCACTTAGGGCGTCTGGGACATGATTCGTGTATGTAGGGCTAGTGCCTTCGGAGACTCCAAACTCTTTATGCCTCATTCTTGCAACCCTGCTGCTATAAACATACCAGACTTTTGTTGAGTATTTAAGGAGTAGCCAACATTTATTGAGCTGACATTATAGTTTAAGAACTGTTCTATGCGCTCTCTGTCTACCATTTCACAGCCTCATTTTCTTTTTACAGTAGAAAATTGAGGCACATACAGTACCACTCATGAGAGAATTCCCTCCTCTAATGCCTGAGAGAATCAATGCTGACAGCTGACCTGATGCTTAACTGAGTTACACAGGTTTCCACACTTTGGGCCTCATTATTGCTGTGGCCAAGTAGACGGCCTCTGTTGACAGCCTTCTCTTTTGCTTGTTCACTGCTTACTGTTTGCCGGAGTTGCCACCTAGAAGAGCTCAGGCTTTGGATAAGACTGACTTAATTTCAAACACGGTGGGTTCTGTCTCTTTTCTATTGTATTATCATAGGCAGTTTACTTAGTTGTGCAAAACCTTCTTATCCTTAAAACTGTGTAATATTATCTAAATTATAGTGTCATTGGACACTTAATTTTTAATTCATTATGAACAAGAATGTACTAGTTTGAACTGTCATACATAAGACTATAATACAAAATAGGAATTTATAAGATTATCCATTAAAATCCCATTTTGATTCCATAATTTTAGTAAGGATTAAAAATGAAGTAATACTTCTAATTTTAAAAGCCAGAACATTTCATGTTGGCTATTAATTTTCATTTGTTAAGAATTTTCTATATTAAGTTGAGAATTATATATAAATTTAGAATTTATTCAGGAGAAAAAATGCATTTATTATTCACAATAGCAGAGATGATATATCAACTTGGACTATCAACAGTTGACTGGAAAAAATGTGGCATAATATACAACACAGAATATTATTCAGCCATAAAAGGGAGAGAATTCTGTCATTTACAACAACATAGATGAAGATGAAAGCATTATGTTAAATGAAATAATCCAGGCACAGAAAAACAAATGTTATGTTATCTCACTTATATATGAAATCTAAAGACAGAATTCATAGAAGTAGGGCACAGACTGATGGTTACCAGTGGCTTGAGGAGAGGGGTACTCAGGAGTTGTTGGTAAGTGGGTACAAAATTTTAGTTAGAATAAGTTCAAGAGAGTCATTGTACAATATGGTGACTATATTAAGCACAGTGTATTGTATACTTGAAAATTGCTAAAAGTATATTTTAAGTGTTCTCACCACAGAAAAAGGTATTTACTTGTATGTGAGGCAAGGCATGTGTTAATTAGCTTGTCTTAGCCATTCCACAATGTATACATATTTCAAAGTATCATGTTATATACCATAAATATATGCAATTTTTATTTTGTACACTAAAAAATAAAAATAAAATATTTATCATTAATTTAAAGCTATCAGTACTTAAAAGTTCTATAATTTCCATTAACTTAAACATGTATTCCAGTAAAATGCACAATAAGATGTTTTTCTTAAGTGGAAGGTATTTTTCATTACTGTCATCATAAATTTAGTTGTGAACATTAATATTAGGAGTAATTTTTTTAAAACCACACTTAAGTATTTAACAAGCATTGTTTTGTTTTTGGGAATATCAAAATTTTAATAGTATATATTTGTGATATATAATATTGGCAAT